TTTAATTTAATTTTTCTCACTGCTGAAGGAGTGTAATTGGCTGGTTTCCAGTGAAAGGAGCTGCGTTAGCTTCTCTAATCTAATCTAATCCAAGGGATTATTAATCACCAGCTCTGAGGGCTGCAGCGTGAGAGTGTGTGTGTGTGTGTGTGTGTGTGTGTACCTGTACTGTATTGTCTCCTCTTACGTTGGTTCTGTCTCTGTCTCAGACGCTCAGTGTCGGTGGTTTTTACAGCTAAGACTAAAAGGTCAAGTCAGTACTGTTTGGTGGAACTACACCTGTAAAGCAAGGAGAAAACCACAGAAAAAAACAAACAAAAACAAACAAAAACTGGACCTCTGTGTGTGTTTGAACCACAGTGTCACACGTCTGTGTGTCTGTGTGTGTGTGTGTGTGTGTGTGTGTGTGTACCTGTGGTGCCTGGTGTCTCTCAGCGCTCTGTTGCTGGGGATGCGTTCACTCTCCCTCTGGTTGAAGGCGTACAGAGTGTACGGGTCGTCGCCGGGTTTCCAGCGCCGCGCGTTCAGGTAGCTACGTTCATCAAAACCGTCCAACATGTCGTCCCACTCCGCATCTGAAATCTGTCAAACCGTCGGTCAGCGATTAATGTCGGTTCAAAGGTTTGAGTGTCGTCTGCGTAGAGAAGCAGTTTTTCCGATACACAGCAGTTACAGCCGTTTTCTCCGATCATTTTTGCTCCGTCTGCCGGGTCGTGTGACGTCACCTCTGACATCACACGACCTCTAACACGGCTCGAAAAAACATTCATGTTCAGACACATTTCGTATTTTTATCGTCTTGTCGTCGGACGACGACCGTCTGTGAGGATTAGTCACAAATGTCACAGTGTGTGCGTCGGACCACTGACCGACACACACACACGTCACAGTGTGTGTGTGTGTGAACAGCCGTTAAAGGTCACTTTATCAGAGAAGATACGGAGCAGCTGTTCTACTTCCTGTTTCCTGTTTCAGCAGCCTGACGTTAGCCGTTAGCTAACGATCATCTAACCCACCTGTGGACAGTCGAAGCATTACCTGCAGTGAGAATTTAAGGGGGAAGTTCCCCCCCCCCCCCCAAGTCCATAGAGAGACAGAAGCGATCGATCCACGACTTCCTTTGGTCCAAATGTTTTGTTTCTTCTTTGATTTCGAGTTTTATTTCTGTTTATCTCGTTGACCACAGGGGGCGCAGGAGCAGCGGTTTGTTTGTTTGTTTGTTTTTTCTGTCCCTTGAGCTAACACCATTTATTTCCTCTCTGGAATTTGGTGCAGACTGATTAAAGGATGATAAACCCGTGGTTCCCAGAGGTCAGAGTCAGCTCCGGTCCACAGTATCTAAAGGGCTGCTCTGAAATGTTTATGTCGCAGTAAAACAGTCAACAAAGTCCACTGAAAAAAACAAGTCATTGATTTTAGCGGGGGGGGTTGGGGGGGGGGAGACAGGAATGACTGTTCTGCTGAACTGTCTTTTAGTCCGTCTGTGTCAGAGAACTGACGTCAGAGGAACAATGTTTAGCTCAGCCACGGAGGACGGGGGGGGGCGGGGGGGGGGGGGGGGGGGGTGGGGGGGGGAGACAGGAATGACTGTTCTGCTGAACTGTCTTTTAGTCCGTCTGTGTCAGAGAACTGACGTCAGAGGAACAATGTTTAGCTCAGCCACGGAGGCCGAGGGGGGGGGTCAGAGGTGGGGGGGGGGTGAACTCAGTCAGACACTGAACTCCTCATCTTTCACTTCCACGAGCAGCGAAACAAAAGCAGTGACGGAACGACTCTGAGGCCGAAAGTCGAGGAAAAAATACAAAGGTTATAAAACAGGAAATAAAATGTTAATGTGGAGCATCAATCCTGCTGCTGATGCTGATGCTGCTGATGCTGATGTTACTGAGGCTGCTGCTGCTACTGCTGTTACTGCTGCTGCTGTTACTGCTGCTGCTGCTGCTGCTGCTGCTGAGGCTCAGACACGCGAGGGCTTTAAAAAAGAACTAGCAGTGAAATAAAAAGTAGCGCGGCTGAGTGTGTGTTTCTTGTCGAGCAGTGATCGTTTCCTTCAGGGAAACAGGACGATTGTACACGTCGAGAAAATTCCAAAAGTCTAAAGTTAGTTGATGTTAACAGTTAGTGTGCTGTCTTAGTGTAGCTAACACTACGGCTAACCTTTAGCCATTTCTCTGTACCTTGGTTCATAAAGATGGCCGACCACTGCTGATGACAGGGGGGGGGGCATGGAAGGGGGGGGTCCTGGACCAGGAAGTCCTCCACCGCCTCAGATGAGGTTACCATGGTAACACTGAGGTCAAAGGTGATCACACACCCAACTGTTTCCAGCTAGCTACAGCTCACTGACGCTAACTGACTGGCTCCCTCTTCTGGTCCGTGCTAACCTGTCGTGCTAACATGCTAACGCTAACCCTGCGTTGGCTACCTTTTACACAGGTGTCATTTTGTTGACTTTGAGCTAATATTTAGCTTGAGATGGGAGGGGCCGGGGGGGGGGGGG